ACATACACACACACACACACACATATATATATATATATATATATATATGTATATATATACATATTTACATGTAAATGATACACACGCATATATATATATATACGTATACGGTAGATAGATAATTAGATAAGTAGATATTATATATATATATATATATATATATGCGATTCTCCATGCATACCGACGTGCATACTTATGCTTGCTCTGATATTGTTTTCACGTAAAGGGCCATTCACATATACTTGTAGCTATATTCTCAACTGCACGACTAGGAGACACGCAAAAATAAGCCAATGCCATGTAAGAGCAATCTAGCTTCTCATACAAACCCGGCTAATATACACAACTGCGTACAGCAATCACATTCACACATACTTACATACCAACTGAAGGCGGCACCAGAGTCGGGTGCATGTCAAACCTGACATCGTCAATTAAACTGATATCACTCCCGGCAACAGCAACTACGAACACTTCCCAGCCGTGGGTGCTCTGGTTGAGTTTTTTCTTCAACTTCCACGAGTATGTGCCGCACTCGAACTCCTGCAATAACTTCATGGTGAAGCTATAGTAGTGAGGTCGAGTATACGATTAAAAAACGTGTCTACTGCGATGAATTACAGGATTATAATAAGTCCACCAGCGTGCTTCGGATGTACATATACATGCACGTTATACCCATACAAGTTGTATGTGTATACATACACTATACCTCTCGTGGTATTCCCTTTTTCCCGCTTCAGTGGTATAGTGTACAAGTGTACACACATACATACAATAAACCAGTCACAATATTCGACTAAATTTACCGGCTCTCAGAGTCTCAACTCTTAAGTCTCAAGTCACGACGATAATTGTAAATAATTGTAAATAAATAATTTCTAAATAAATTATCCCAAGGCCAAGGTCCCAAGCTCGGTACGACTGTAAAAGATCCCGAAATAATATAAAACTAATAATATCTTCGGGATCAACCACAGAGCAGAGTTACCGTACAGTCAATCAGTCATAACTCATACGCCTAACGCCACAGTCCAAACTCTAAAGTATGTAAACCTAATACCACAATACGTTTTACGTTGAATATATTCAACGTTTATATCGTGACGTCCTATAGTAGACGTTATAGGTGCACATTCGGAGCCTGTAGGCTCTTTAGTGTTGATATGTCTTCGTGTATTTTTATCCTCTTTGTCGACCAATAACTAAAAATAAGAGCGTTTACGCTGAAAGAAATCGGACCCTGGATTGAGATAAAGTCCAAAGTCCAAACACCTAAACACCAATATATTTACAGCTCCTGTTGTCCAGTTCTCAGACTCCTGCCGTACTGCGTCCTGACTCTGAGTTCCCCCCATCCCCACACAAACGCAGTCACAGACTCACAGTCGCTATTTAAATAAAAGTTTTTTCGAGAAAAATCAAAATGGTGCAAATCATGCATTCAAAAAGCTCACAAAAGACGAAAGTCCAAAGTTCACAAACTTTAAAACGACAACATGTCAACACAAGTTTGTTGTAAATAAATATTCCATATCTTTGTTTTTATTTATTCATTGTTGTTTTTATAAAAATATAACAACCTTTTAATAAATATCTATCTATATGTCTGAAACAAAGACAAATTCTGAATGTCGTTTACTACACACAACAACATCGTACACCAAGAAAGGTTAGGTGTATCACTTCGTTGTGAATATCAAACACTAAATAAAAAATAAATATGTAAAACCCTAAACCCTAAACCCTCAAAGCATTTTGTTTTAAAAACTACAAATGTCGAATATTTATTTATTTAAAATGTAGCTAATTTAATTAGCGAACATATGATTCAATTGGTCATTCTTTAAGATATGAAGTGCCCGCCAAAAATGGTTTATCAGCTTCCAATCTCTCCTCGTTTATCTCACAATGCTGTATTCAGAATTTCAGATTTGCCAAGAAGAAAAACCCCATTTTTCTTACACATAAAAAAGAAGAAAAATGATAGGTGAACAATATTTTTGGAGGCATTACCATCAGGCTATTTGGTGACTATTAATTTAGAAGGCCATGATTTGGTGCCTTTTAAAAACATAAATATATACAAATATGATCTGGGGCAAACGTACATATTTAAAAAAACAAAACAAATACCTATTTTTTTTTAAAAATGTATCGGTGTATATATAATACAATATTGTATGTAAATACATATTTACACATGTAAATACATTCTATATTTTTTATTAAAACAAACAACAACTACAAAATACAGTCACAAATTTGAGATTAAAGTTGAATAGTATCATTGTTCTTAGGTCACTTGTTGGGTATGTACGGTAAATATATGTAGAACTCTTGAATCTGAGGAATGGTGCGAGATGCCAGAGTTTAAAGGCTTTCATCAAAGAATGTATTTACATGTGTAAGCGAATATGAAATATATACATCAACACACAAAAATACACTCGCACATACATTTACGTATATATAT